CTTCTTAGTAATTGTTTTTTCATGGAATTTCAATTCCACTTCCCTTAAATTATTTTCCGCGAACCAAACAAGCCCTAAGTAAATTTCATTAATGTATAATAAACAGCAAACCAATAAGAGAAGTAAACCGCCCTAAAAAGATCTTGTGTGACATGCTCAATTGAAAAGGGATTGACAAGAATCAAATTTGATCGAACCTTCAAATACGAGAATTGTACTCCACCTATTAAGTCAAAAAAAAAAAAAAAAAAAAAAAAAAAAAATCTTTATCATTCACCCAATCAATTAAAGGATGTGTAATAAAAATATATAATATGTAGTAAATTTCTGCATTATTTTTTATTTATTTCCACACCAAATTATATGGAAAGTAGGCCCATGTTAATTTGATGCATTGGTGCTATTTGTTGTGACACGAGTCTCCTTTAATTTATTGCATTCAACGGCATTTCTTCATCTAATTATTCGAAAATGATATATTTAATATTAATATTATGCACAGATAATTAATGTTTCAATTTCATTTGTCTAAATTATTTTAGCTAACCAATGAACATATGGTCTAGTGGCACAAAATGACTCTCTCAAATAGGAGGTTATGGACTCAATCCCTAATAGAGACGGTATTAACTCATTGTATTTCAGTAGAATAAAAAAGAGTTATGAACATTACTATATATATATATATATATATATATATATATATATATATATATATATATATATATGTCTAGACGGTAGAATTTTGACTAATAATGTAAAAAATATTTTAAAATTAAGTATTTATGATATTACTGTTATTTTTTATAAGGAAGGTCTCAGATTGAAGTCTCCTCAACTGCAAAATTATTTATTTGATACTATTGATAAGTTACCGTGATCTCAAAATTAATTAAAATTGGTTCTAACATATTTCCCACATCCATAAAAAAAATTTATGGAGTACTAATTTAAGAGTAGATTTAAAGTAAGAACATAAACATGTAGGCTAAACTGCACTCATACAATTTTCAGTATTAAACTTTAAAAGATTAATTAGATTGCATTAGAAGTGTTGACAAAAGAATGACATTTTTAATATTTCTTATATTTCGACCCATTCTTATACAGTGAATCATGGTTCACATAGTGCTGTGTGGACTATAGTTGTTAAATAAAACTATAGTAGAATTAAAATGATACTTTAATTTAGTGTTACTATAATGAAATTAATGTGTGTGGAAAATTAAACTAAAACACATAGCTCATTCAACAACGTATATTGCCAAATGAAACTGTAGTATAATTAAAATGATAATTCAATGTATGTTGTTATAATGAAACTAGTGTATATGGAAAATGAAACTAAAAAACAGAGCTCATTCAACAACGTATATTGTCAAATGAAATTGTAGTATAATTAAAATAATAATTTAGTGTATGTTGCTATAATGAAACTAGTGTGTATGGAAAATGAAACTAAAAAACAGAGCTATTCAACAACGTATATTGTCAAATGAAACTGTAGTATAATTAAAATGATAATTTAGTGTATGTTGTTATAATGAAACTAGTGTGTATGGAAAATGAAACTAAAAAACAGAGCTCATTCAACAACGTATATTGTCAAATGAAACTGTAGTATAATTAAAATGATAATTTAGTGTATGTTGTTATAATGAAACTAGTGTGTATGGAAAATGAAACTAAAAAACAGAGTTCATTCAACAACGTATATTGTCAAATGAAACTGTAGTATAATTAAAATGATAATTTAGTGTATGTTGTTATAATGAAACTAGTGTGTATGGAAAATGACACTAAAAAAATAGAGCTCATTCAACAACGTATATTGTCAAATGAAACTGTAATATAATTAAAATGATTCTTTAGTGTTGCTATAATAAAACAAGTGTGTGAAAATGAAACTAGATAGATGACATGCACCATTCACTAATCTAGATAAAGGGTTCAATTGGTTCTCAGGTTCACATCTTAACATAGGTTCTCATTTGAATTAATTAATTAATTTATATATTTATATATATATATATATATATATATATATATATATATATATATATAGAGGGATATACATGAATGGTATTTTTAAAGCTCAACAACATCCACAATGAGTGACTCATCGGTCCAAAAAATGCTTATTCATGCATATTAAATGCCCACAAAATTATAATCCCTGATTAGCATAAGATCAAAAGGCTCAACCAACCTTTTTAAAAAAGAAAATACAAATTATAACAAAAACTTTAAAAGACAAGTAGGAAGTCAATTTAATCCGAAATCAATGATCATTGATTTCGGATTAAATTGACTTCCTACTTGTCTTTTAAAGTTTTTGTTATAATTTGTATTTTCTTTTTTAAAAAGGTTGGTTGAGCCCTTGATCTTATGCTAATTACGGATTATAATTTTGTGGGCATTTAATATGCATGAATAAGGTCGAAAAAATTGAACCTGATAAGAAAATCAATCATATTCAATTAGTTCAATTGTTCAAATACACTAACTTAAAATTGAGTAGGTTGGTTCAATTGACATCTTTAATCGAAGAAAATAATAATGAAGTTGAAGTAAAAGATTCAAATGTTGGGGGAAAAGAATCTAGCATTATGCAAAATGTTTAGATTTATGAATGATGATCTTGTTTGAAAATTGAATTAATTGTTACATTATGATTTCAAATTGGAATTTGAAATTAGAGATCTGGACCGATTAAATAATGTTTTAAATGTATATTTAATTATTTATTTATATAAATATGTTAGTACTTTATAATTAAAAATTTAGGATGTCAATTTTAAAATTAAAAAATTTAGTTGAACACGACATAAAAATACAATAGCGCCCCCCCCCCCCCCCCCCCCCCCACCAAAAAAAAAGAGTTAATCTAGTTAGTAGGTTATGTTAAAATCAAGTAAAATAGTTTGATTGACATCTCTGAAAAATAAGGCATAACAATTAGAAAGATTATTACAATTTTATCTAGCGATGAAAAAGAGTAAATATTAATTTTAGTCTCACAAGTATTAATAAAATGATAATTTTGATCTACATGTTTAATTTTTATAAATTTTTATCCACGACTATTATTTTAGTACCAATATTCATCCATGATTATTGTTTTAGTGCCAAAATTTATCACGCCAATCACTCATTCGTTTAATACATGTCGAAATCTAAAATTTTTAAGGGTATTTTTGTCTTTTTCAACTTTAGATCCCAATTTGAGCATGAATAATAAGATTTAAGTCCTAAGATCGATCAAAATTCGCAGTTCTCCTCCTCATCCTATCTGAATTTGAGGATGGGAACTGTGAATTGTGGTCGATCTTAGGGCTTAAACCCCTTTATTCATGCTCAAATTGAGATCTTAATTCAAAAAAGACAAAAATACCCTCAATAATTTTAAATTTCGGCATATATTAAACAGAGGAGTGACCGATGTGATAAAAATTGGTACTAAAATAATATTTGTGGATGAAAATTGGTATTAAAACAATAGTCATGGATGAAAATTGGTAAAAATTAAACACGTGAATCAAAATTGTTATTTTACTAATACTCATTGGACCAAAATTGGTATTTACTCCGTAAAAAACGAATGAATATTACCAAAACTGGATTGTCAAAAAACATAAAAATAAGCTATAAATACTCATGTCATAGTGTGTTACCATTCAATTTACTCATAAATTAATCTGACCCTTGGTCATAGAGGTGAAACTTTGGAAGAATGACCAGGTATTGAGTCTCACCAGCAGTAGTGTGGGAGCAACCTCTCAAAGTGGGGGGGGGGGGGGGGTGGGGGTGTTCCTTGAGCACAGTGAGCACCGGTCTAGCCTCTGTGGTTCATGTGCAGTTGAGTTACCATGATTTACATCCTCCCAAATGCTCTGTCGGGTTGGGGTTTAGCCTTTTGGAAGAATAAATTAATCTGACCCTTTATGAGCTTTTTTATTTTTTATTTTTTTATTTTTTTATTTTTTTAATTTTTAAACTTAGATGATCTCAGTTTCATCGAACTAATCCTAAGTTCATGTTCAGTTGAGTTACCATGATTTACATCCTCCCAAATGCTCCGTCGGGTTGGGGTTCAGCCTTTTGGAAGAATAAATTAATCGACCCTTTATGAGCTTTTTTTTTTATTTTTTATTTTTTATTTTTAAACTTAGATGATCTCAGTTTCGTCGAACTAATCCTAAGCTCACAGGACCCCGCTTTTAGATTCACTACAGAGGTAAATCATGAGTCGCGCAATCAATCCACTCGTCAGAACCTAGTCTTTAACCTAATACAAAGACTAGTCAAACAAGAAATATAAATAATAACATTGCTAACACGCACAAGGGATCCAGCGAATTATTGTGTTGACCAGGGTCCAAAACGCCGTCATTTTGACGCTAAAAAAATGTGCTTATGTGTTACAATAATGAACCTTCTGAGATAAGATAATATATATTATGAGTTAAAATAATATACTTTATGTTCAGATAATGTACTTTATAAATTAGAATAATATATTTTATGAGTGTTTATATGTTTTCGGTGAACAAAATAATGATTGAAGGATCCAATCTTCACATTCCAACATGAATCTTTTTCTTATATATGTTTTTAGTGAAATTTGAACCCTCATATTCGCACAAGGAATTCATCCTTCATGTACGTGCATTCCAATCTAAACCTTTTAATATTCTTGAATTCTTTTTTCATATATGTTTTTAGTGGGATTCAAAATCTCACACTGCCACCTCTTTATAATGCGTTTTTAATGGTGTCGCAACCAACTTTTTCAACTTGCAAAGTTGAAATTAAAGAAAATAAAGAAAAAAAGAAAAGGAAAACAAAAAAGGCGGAAATGGCATTATTGTAACTTCACTACCCCCACACCCGTTATAAATAAACCCCAACTTTCTAACACAATATATCAGTAGTCGGATAAAATCCATAATCACTAACCTACGCGCCGCCTCTACTCGCCCTTCCAAACCAGGGTCAAAATGTCGTCGTCTCAAGAACTCATCTCGACCCACCGCGAAAACGCGGAGATATACACCGATCCGGCGGTGTGCAAGGAGAAGACGCTGGAGCTCCTCCGGGAGATCAACATGCCGTCGGGGCTTCTCCCGATGGACGACATCCTGGAGGTCGGCCGGAACCCGGAGACCGGGTTCGTGTGGCTGAAGCAGAAGAAGGCGAAGGAGCACAAGTTCAAGAAGATCGGAAAACTCGTGTGGTACGACAGCGAGGTCACCGCCTTCGTGGAGGAGCGCCGGATGAAACACGTCACCGGCGTGAAGTCCAAGGAGCTCCTCATCTGGGTTACCCTCTCTTACATCTCCATTCCCGACCCCGACGCCGGAAAAATCGTGTTTGCCACCCCCGCCGGCCTCTCTAGGTCCTATCCCGTCTCGGCTTTCGAAGAAGAAGAAGACAACGAGAAATGAACGGCTAGGCCTAGCCGGGGGGGTATTCCGGGAAACGAATAAATTATATTGAAACCCTTCCCCCCATTTTCTTCTTTTCTGTGTTTTTTCTTTTAATAATTATGATGAATGATGAATTATATTCCATATTTGTGTTTATTTCTCCTACTATATTACAATGTAATATCTTTATAAATACTTTCTCAATCTATTAAATTATAAAAAAGTCACAAAAATACTATTGAACTAAAGACATTTACCTGGTGTGATTAATTACAATTTCCTGTATTACGTCTCCATTTCAGAGAGTTTGTAATTACTCTCTTTAAATTAAAAGAGATACAACTACTATAACTTTAAAACTCACAACCTCTGAATCTCCATCTGGCCATTTTGTGTAGCCTTGACAAATCTATGGTTACACCCAAAATAAAAATAAAAACTACATGTACTAGGGATTTCTACAACTTTTTATCACATTTTGAATACTCTCAATGATAGTCATAAATATCAGTTAATGTCTAATTTAGTTCTCGATTAGAGTAGTTGTTCTCGATTTAGTTCTAAATGAGATTTTTGGATTTAATTAGGTACTGAACGTCAATGGTTTTTACCTAATTGAGTCTTATGTTAGGATAGTTTGATAATTTTTTCTCTATTAATATTTAATTTAATATTCGACTATAGTTGTTTTACCTAATTTAGTCTTCGACTATAATGATTTTACCAAATTTAGTTCTCAACTATAGTAGATTTTATCAATTTAGTCCTTGATTCTAACTGTCAACAGATGAAATGCCTGACAGAGGACACAATTAGGTAAAATCATCGAAGTCCATGACTTAATTGTGCACAAAAAGTGCATTTATGACTAAAAATATCACCATAATCAAGGACTAAATTGAATATTAACTTTGATGAGTTATACTAGGGATTTCTACAAGGAAAATGCAGTGCGTTATGCTGTGCATCCGTATGCACCATGCATGGTGCATGCGGATGCAAAAACGACGTCGTTTTGGCGTCTAACTTAAAAAAAAAAAATTCAGAATTGCATAACTATATATCCATAATTTCATAACTACACTTCCAGAATTGCATAACTACACTTCCAGAATTGCATAACTACACTTACAGAATTGCATAACTACACTTCCAGAATTGCATAACTATACTTCCAGAATTGCATAACTACACATCCATAACTTCATAACTACACTTCCAGAATTGCATAACTACACTCCCAGAATTGCGTAACTAAACTTCCAGAATTTCATAACTAAAAAATCCAAAATGAATGAACTAAAAATGAATAATATAATGTTATTTCTGGGAATCGGAAACTGATTTTTTTTTTTTTTTAAGTAGGGCCGCGTTTTATGCAAAACGACGTCATTTTTGCATCCGTATGCACCATGCAGGGTGCATACGGATGCACAACATAATTTGCAGCCGAGTGCTACATGTACTCCCATATTGTACTCCCAACTTGTACTCCTACACACTAAACCTTGATGTAGACACTTGTATTGGGACCCATATGAAAAAATAACTTAACAGAATCCGTCACATCATGGAGTAAAATTTAGGGAGTACATGTAGTAGAACCCTTTCTACCAGGGTGTTGCTATTTGTACCACCTTATGGTGTAAATAACCTTGGAATTCTAAAAAGATGGAAAATGTCAACAAGTTTTATAGGTGGTGTAAATAGTAATAGGGTGTAAATATGGATATTTACACTACCCTAGTCAATTGTATTTTTTTTTTTTTTTTTGAAAACAGTCAAATGTAATTTAATTACACAAAAAATTAGGTATTGCAATTAGAGTTTTTTTTAAAAGGTATTGGAATTAGATATATTATTTTAATAAATTTAAATTAAATAATTAAATTTAAAAATTAAAACATTAAAAAAAACAAACAAAAAAAACCGTCAGCGAGGGTTTTATTTTTATTTTATTTTATTTATTTATTTATTTATTTTTTGGAATGAAACTATTGGTAATTTGGGCGGCAAAGAATACTAAATGGACTCATATGACTCAGAAATCGTTCTCCGTGGCGATTTGCTACTTTGACTGAAGCTTACGATGCAGCCGCTGGTTACTCTAGGCTTCAACAGTTGCACTGAGATGCCATGCAATAGTTGCATCGAGATGCCATGCAGGGAATGAAGAAAAAGAATGAGGGTGTAGATTCACAGCCGAACAAGGGACACAGGTTCAATCCGACGAGCAGGTTTGACAACCGAGACGAGGAAAGGATGAACATGACTATGAGACAGGGAGTTGGAGCTGGAGGACCACTGAGTGAGAGAGTTTCGGTATGCCCGAGATGTGGCAAGGACCATCCTAGGACCACTTGTGGAGGATTGCCCGTGGTTTGCTTCCAGTGTGGGAAACCGGGCCATAGAACTACTACTTGTCGTTCTCCGAGGACTGAGGGATCTCATGGTATGATCCTGAGCCAGCCACCCAGAGTTCCGATCAATCAGGCGTCGAATCAAGCTATGGGACGTGGTTATCCACCGAGAGGAGGTTCGCACAGAAATGGGAATCATGAACGAGGTGGAGCGCAGCAAGGACGTACCGGAGGAGCTGGACCAAGGAGGATCATGGTCATGGGACAGACTCAGGCTGGAGGCCGCAATCTCAGGAAAGGTAACACTCTAACTTGGAATGAGTGTATTGATTCTTGCATGAATGCTTAATTGGATGTGCATGCTTGAGAAAATTTGTTACAAGTTGTTGCAAGTTGTTAAAAAACATGCTAGTCTAAGAATTTTGAGAATTTAGAAGTTAATTGAAGCTGTTTTAGAGAAAAACTTAGACTTGAATGTTATGAATTAACAAACAAGAGATTAGAAGAATGGAAATAAGTGTAAGTAGGGATTAATTCGATAAGGAACGGTTAAAGTTTAATTAAGGGAGTTGTTTACCGAAGTAGAAGTGAAAACAGGGAAAACGAAAGAAAGAAACGATGAGAAAAGACTTGGATAAGGGTTTAATTTAAATTTTGAATTGGGACAAGCAATTCCCGGGAGATATTTGAAAGTCAAAGGATTGACTAAGAAACCGAGATTTATTAAAGTCGAGGACTATATCCAATTTTGACCCGATTTGAAGATTTGACAAAGTCGGAGGACCGAAAAGAGTTGGGGCTGGATACCCGACCCGGGCAGCGGCCTTAGGCGTCGGAGCGGGACGGACTCCATTCCGTGTAACGGAACGTGGTCACGGACCACGTCATGGTCCGTGACCTGAGGCCATGTCAGGCTGAGCTGACAGCGGGCCCCGCACCGGGGCCCATAGAGGGCGATTCCCTAGCCCCCATGCATTCCTTTTTTCTCCGCTCAGTTTTTCCCCTAATCAGCTGCAAGCAATTTTTCCCATCTTCTTCTTCTTCTCTTTTTCGCTGCTCACTGCCTCAACCCCAACCAAAAACCTATCTCCTTCAAATGTTTTCCAAAAGTATATTCTATAGTACTTTACAGGGTTGAGTGTGGTTATACTTAGCTTCGTGCTAACAGGTGTTTTCCTATTTGTCTATGTGTTGCTTGCAAAACCCCTTTTTGGTGGGCCCAGCAGTGAGAAGTGATCGAGTTAGACTAGTCTTTTAGATTGAGATGTCTAAAGTCTTTTTGACTTATTTATGTCGTTATCCATCGGATAGAGGACGGTATTGAGGTTAGGGTTCGTACATAGTAGTGATACGCGTGCACCCAGTGATAGGCACGCATGCACACCGACGGCCATAACTTGAAAACACCATGCACTCTATGATTTTTTGGGTTTAATATACGTAATAAAATCTGCCAAAAAAAAAAAAAGGAATGGAGAGAATACAATGTTGGGGGGAAAGCTTCGTACAGAGTAGTGATAAGCACACACCCATAGATAGACACGCATGCACACCAGCGCCCAAGGCTTGAACACATTGTGCACCCTACGATTTGTTAGTTTTAATACATGGAATATTAGCAGTGCTACCAGAGGCAACTGATTATACTTGTATTCACCCATATCACAGTTTTGAAATATAGGCAAACATCATAGTGAAGGTGAAGCAACGGAGTGCAAAACCCCAACACATACCAGACCATGCTGAAGCGGCGTAGCCATCGCAAAATCACTGCGCGCAGGAACGGCGCACCCCCCAGCTTGTACTTCAGCACACCGACCCTACAGTAGACGAACATGGAACAACACCACATTCGGAAAAGTAAACAAATTAAACAAAGCCCACAGTCATCGTGCAGCAACGTTAATACAAGGGTGCACACAAAGACGGGAAGAATCCATGTGTTTGGAAACACAAATTGACACACATCCATAACTAACTAAGTACAGACTATCATACATACTAGCCCCGAAGTCACAGGTGTAACAACCGGATGAACAGCATGCGCAGGTTCAACAGTTACCGTCGGGCCTGCACCATCTGAACCAGCCCCAGGCTCACCACCATTTGAAACATCCCCATCTAAAACCTCACCATCAACAGCACCCCCCCCCCCCCCCAAGCCATCACCACCGCATACATTACCACGACCACCCTATCGGGCAAAAATACACAAAAACAATGAGCAAAAAAGCGGAAAAAATAAAAAGACCAAACAACACAGTTTGTAACCCACGTAATTTAACCAAGTATACTGCACAAGTGCATGGGATATGGCCAAACAACCTTAAAAAACAAAAGAAAGCAACCTTGGCAAACTGACCTCCACATTAAAATCAGGCCGACCAGTATTTGCCGGGACCAAGTCTCGCAGCACAGCCTCAATAACACCCCAACCATTATCTGCTATATCCTGCGTAATACCCAAACTGAAGGATGGCATATCATCGGGTCCAGCGTCATGCTGATTTGCATTAACAACCCGAAGCGACTTGATGGCATCAAACACCCATCGTAACACATCGCCACCGAAAACACCATCCGGCCCTTGCTTCACTAACTCTGCAATCTCTCCCGCTATCCTCATTGTTGTTTGAATTACAACATCACCAAATGTCT